TTCTCTCATAGGGAATGGCACCATTTCCTGGTGGTCAACATGAAGGGCAACGACATCAGCAGTGGCACCGTCCTCTCTGATTATGTGGGCTCTGGGCCTCCCAAGGGCACAGGTCAGTAAAGGCTGTTTTTAGGGGGTTGAGGGAGGGGAGCCTGGGTGCACATTAGGATTGGCCTGCAAGTGCTGATGCCGATTGTAGTCTGATTCTTGGAGCTTTATTCTTTTATTTATGAGAGCTCTTACCCTAGTGGAGGCTTCAGGCAGTGCAGTTTGCTTCCAAGGCAGTGGAGTCAGGTGGCTGGAACCTTGGGTTCTGGTTAGTTAACAGGGAAGTCTGTGAGAAGATACTAAAGAAGCCGTGTTGCAGGATGCTTGAAACGGCTTCCTACAGGGGCTGTATACGGACTGAACACAGATAAACCATTTAAGTTCTGTTTTCAACTTTGGCCCTGTGGGATCTTTGAGCTTTTAGTTCCCATAAAAAGTCTCAGAAATGATCATAGTTTCCAAATTAATTATTAAAAATTGGCTCCTTTATCTCTATAGTTTCCCTTTTCTCTTGAAAATCGAGTGTGGTATCTTGAGAACTCTCCGCCCCTCTCATGCGTTCATAAAAGGACGGTAAAGGTACATCTTTCTCAGGGATCTATTAAGTTCTCTAGGGCAGTTATAAAATTAGGCAGTTAATTATGGTAAGTACACACATGAGAATAAAGCAATTCTCTCAAGTAGGGAGTTCTGTTCTCATTAACAAAAAAAGCCTCAGTAACTCACACTTTTTCCTTTTGCTTTTGTTCATATTCTTTTAGTAAGTTGTAACTTACATGCAATAAAGCCACAGATTGTAAGAGTTTAGACCAGGGATGGGCAAACTTTTTGACTCGAGGGCCACAATGGGTTCTTAAACTGGACCGGAGGGCCGGAACAAAAGCATGGATGGAGTGTTTGTGTGAACTAATATAAATTCAAAGTAAACATCATTACATAAAAGGGTACAGTCTTTTTTTTTTTTTTTTTTTTAGTTTTATTCATTTCAAACGGCCGGATCTGGCCCGCGGGCCGTAGTTTGCCCACGGCTGGTTTAGACAACGGGTATTGATGGATGCACCTTTTCCAGTTAACTTTTCCCAGAGCTAACCCTGTTCTGACACCGCTCTCCACTGATTACTTTTGTATTCATATAAATGATATGCAGGATGCATTTGTTTTGAGTGATTGGTCTCTCACTGGAGATCATGTTTGAGATTCATCCATGTCACTGTTTGTATCAGTAATTTGTTCCTCTGTATTGATTGCTAAATGGTATTCCATTGTGAATATGCCAGTTTGTGCAGCCATTCTCCTGTGGGCTGTTTTTAGTGTTTGGATATTATAAATAAAGCTGCTGTATACATTCTTGTCATTGGTGGGCATAGGTGTCCATTTTTTTGGGGTAAATACCTAGGAGAAGAATTGTCGGGTCATAGAAATTGCCTAAGAGTTCTCCAAAGTGATGGAAATTTTTTACACTCTAATCAGCAGTATATGAAAGTTTCAGAAGATCCATAAAAGATTCATGTGGATCCCTATCAAAATTCATCCATGTTGTAGCATGTAACAGGATTTCCTCCTTTCTTAAGGCTGAATAATATTCTATTGTATATTTATACCATGTTGTGTTTATCCATTCATCTGCCAATGGATATTTGGGTTATTTTCAATCTCTTGAATATTGCGAATAATGCCGCAGTAAACATGGGTATACAAGTTTCTAAATAATTTTTCTTTCATAAAGCAACTCATGGCACCTGCTTGAGAGCAGTCCCTAATTGGAGCTTGTAGAAAGCTGCAAGGTTCATAGGGTGCTTGCTGGCTTGCTTTCGAACATGCATTGCTGCTTAGTTGGTTAAAGTGAATTGAGCCATTTCTTTTAAAGCAGGTCTCTTGTCTTCCAAGGAAGTCAGTTTTGGAGGTAGAAAGGTGATGTTCTCCTTTAGCCTGTGCAGGTATGATTGTGGTATGATGAGCCAGTGATTTGCTGTGCCCTTCCTCCATTTCTCAGGTATTTTTTAGCATCTCCTGCCTGCCAGGCACTGAAGTCAGATAGGTTCTAGGGCAGCGGTTCTCAAACTTTGGTTCGCGACCCCTTTGGGGGTCGAACGACCCTTTCACAGGGGTCACCTAAAACCATCGGAAAACACATATATAATTACATATGGTTTACAGTAGCAAAATTACAGTTATGAAGTAGCAACGAAAATAATTTTATGGTTGGGGTCACCACAACATGAGGAACTGTATTAAAGGGTTGCTGCATTAGGAAGGTTGAGAACCACTGTTCTAGGGAGATAATGGTCAATAAGACAAACACCGTAGCTTTATGGGGCTCTCTTTTCAATGAGACGGTTAAATGAACAAGTAGCACTTTAGATAGCCATGCTACTGTGACAGAAGTAAAATAGGCATCCTCATGGGAGTGGTGGGAAATGGCTGGTGACCAGCTCCTATTGGAGATGGGCGGGAATCCTGGAGTGGGATGAATGAGGAGCAAAGAGCAGTAGGAGGGCCAAATCCTGTCCGTCTAAGAGGCTGTAATGCAGGGTGTGGACTGTATACCACTTGCAGTGCAGTGTCACTGGGTGCGTTTCAGCAGGTGAGTGACCCGACTCGTTCCACCTCTCTGGGTTCTCAGCATCTTTGCAGATGGGGTGGTCTGGGTCCCTCCAAGCTATGAAAAAGGACGATGCCTCCATCAGATGCCTAGCTGTCTGTGTATCTTCCCTCCTGCCTCTCCCTCCAGGCCTTCACCGCTACGTCTGGCTGGTTTACGAGCAGGCCAAGCCGCTGAAGTGTGACGAGCCCGTTCTCAGCAACCGATCTGGAGACAACCGTGGCAAGTTCAAGGTGGCATCTTTCCGCAAAAAGTACGACCTCGGGCCCCCAGTGGCCGGCACGTGTTACCAGGCGGAATGGGATGACTATGTGCCCAAGCTCTATGAGCAGCTGGCTGGGAAGTAGGGGAAGCCAGGAGACAGACAAGGCCCCGGGGCCCAGGCAGTGTTCTCAAGTTCAGTGATGCATGTTGATTTCTCCTCTTGCCTGTTCCCACTCTCACAGGCGAGACCTGAGCAGATAGAGCTGTAGGGTGTCTTTTCCTTCTGCCTGTCCTTTATCATTGTACAGGGCCACACACCCTGGATTTATGTTTTGATCAAATTTGAACTCCATTTTGGGGGCTATTTGGGTACTATGATGTGGTCATCAGATTGTTAATATAAGAACAACAACCCAGAATTTAAAGGCGTATCCTCTGAAGAGCAGCACTGGAAAAGCAATCGGGAGAGTCCCTTTCCTGTTGAGCTGTAGGGCTGGGTGAGGGGTTATCTGAAGTCCGTTAGTCTGTGCCTGTTAAATTTATCACTCTTCCTTGGTGTAATAAAAGCCAGTATGGAGTTGCTAAATGTTGTGTTAGTTCTGCTGTTTGCTTACAGTTGAATAAAAATAAAAACATTGTGTGGACAAACTGAGCCTCCGGATATTTTGCCCTTTTGGATATGGGGTTTCAGAAATGTGGGAAGTCAAGAGACTACCTGGAAGGGTGAATATTCCTTTCACTGACCAGCTGAAATGACTGGGACTTGATTCAGGGACCCACACATGCCATTAAACTATAGCAGGAACAGCCATTCATTTAAATTTGAGGGTTTTTTTTTAATATATTTTTATTGCTTTTTTACAGAGAGGAAGGGAGAGGGATAGAGAGTTAGAAACATTGATGAGAGAGAAAAATCGACCAGCTGCCTCCTGCACACCTCCTACTGGGGATGTGCCCGCAACCAAGGTACATGCCCTTGGGAGCCTTTAGTCCGCAGGCCGACGCTCTATCCACTGAGCCAAACCGGTTTGGCTGTTTTTTTTTTTTTTTTTTTTTTTTTAAATCACAAAACTTTAGCCAAGACTCTTTGCCCAAAAAGCACCTTTGCTTTTTGTAAGTGGTCCCCCATGGTGTAGTTGTGTGCGGACACCATAACAGTTGGCTAAGGAATAGCCTACACTCTCTTTGTGTTGACTTATAATCCATATAGAATCAATATCGAAAGGGGGCGGGGGCAGGGGTGGATCGATCACTCACAACGGTTGATGTACCAAGAGAAAGGTCCGCATCACTGACCTGGTCTGTGATGGGGACAGGATCCCGGGTGAGGCCTGGCAGCCACTAAGCCAGGCTGGGTTTAATACTCCTTTTCGCTGCTGTACTTTTCTGGAAAATTGTTGGAAATGTTGCCTATTGTAATCTCTGGGGGCAGATAAGGTAGAGAGTAATTTTTTTTTTTTTTACTTTAGGGGTTTAAAATTTATTTTTAAAATAACATTTTATAAAACAAAAGTTGTAAAGAAACTACCCTGTTGACCTTAAAAATAAATGTGAAAAGTAATGCATCTGTTAAGACAAGGCAGACAATGTAGGAAGAAAATACGTTTCCTCTTTCTGTCTCAACTGCAGAACTGGTTTTCTTTCAGAAGGAAATGTAACAGTATATTTACATATTTATCCTTAAAAAATTAGAGTCTTGCTATACAAACTGGTATACATAGTTTTGCTTTGTCTTTCCCCAACTAATGTACTTTCATGCATTTTATATTCAGTAAACAGGTCAGCACAATTCATGTCTTTTTGAATAAATACTCTATTTTATGGATGTTTCATAATTAACTACTCCAATTCCCGACTGTGATTAGATTATTTCTGGTTATTTGCTATTATAAACTGCTTCAACAAACCTATTTTATGTATATAAAATGCTTTTTCAAGTAATTTAGTGGAAAAATTCTTAGTATTGAAATATTTCAAAGACCATATACATTTTCAGTGCTGATACTGACAAACCACCCTCCAAAAATCTCATACTGATTATATTCCTGTTACTGGTATAGGAAAGTAACTTTTTCCATACCATTACCAATTTTCTCAAACTTTAAACACTTGACAATTTGGTATTTATGTATATTTAAAATCATTTACTGTTTCTCTAAACTGTTTTCTTTGAGATTTTTATCTTGCTAACCACAGTACTTTCTTAGTTATAAGGAATTACAGTAATCTGTTTCCTTGTCTAAAACAGATACAGACTCATAAATGATTCTGAAAAAGGTCAATAACTCAACCAAAAAGAGGTGAAGTGTGTGCACAAGAAGTTCACATAAAAAGAATGATACACAAGAAAAGATACATTAGTAACCTGAGAAACAATGGGATATCATGTTTCACCTATTAAATTGGAAATTAAAGTGACCTTGCCCAAGGGCACTACACTAGGAAGCAGGTGCTCCAGGTTCTGAACCCAGGTCTGGCCTCAAAGCCCAGTTCATAACCACCATGTCCACTTACAAATTCTCTTTACGGTTCAGCTTCCTCATGTGAAAAATGGGTGGGGAGAAGCATTCTGCCATATTTTCCTCACAGGGTTGTTGGAAAACAATGATTTTTTTCTTGAGATTAAGTGAATGAATACATGTAAATGATTAACTTGACCTGATTGACAAACAGAAACAAAGTCTACAGTCACTTTCTTCAAGGCTGCTTCCTGTCTGGTCACAAATTTACCAAAAGCGTGTAGAATGAAGACCACAGGAGTCCACTCTGTATCACAGTGTAGCTTTAGCAGCCCCTCCAGACCCCAGTATTTCTAACACAACTCTGGAACCTTGGCAACTGCTCATCATTCTGACTTCATGGCAGAACATATGTAAACATGACAATAATCTAGAAGGCCCTCATTAAACTCTGATTAATAAGCGAGACCAGATCTCAGAAACACGGGATTGATATCTCTCAAATACTTAAACATTCATAGTACATGGCCTAAATCCTCTTCTTGATCAGGGAGCAAGGGACTTCTGTTCTTATATTGTCTACTTAAAACTCTTCAGTTTTCAGTTGCTCTGGGATATAGACCAGGTCCTCAACATGACCTGTCAGACTGTATGATTTCACCCCCATTAGCCTCTCTAGCTTCCTGCCACTTGTCTTCTCATTAAACTCCAAACTTCCTCTCAGTTCCTTGAACATGCCAAGCTACTTCCAGATTTGGTCCTTTATAAATGCTGCCTGTGATTCCCCCCTCTACCCCCCACTTTCTTGGATAACATCCCTTTCACTCTCTCAGTAGCTCTTAACTGACCTTCCGGGAATCCTTCCCTGACTAGGCTAGGTTCTCTTAGCTATGCTAAGGCAACATTACAATTGTAACATGTATGTGTAATTTTAAATTTAATTTTATCTCTTCTATTAAACTGGACCCTTCATGAAGGCAAGGAGAACTAATCTCTGCCTTTTAAGTGGACTGTTTAGAGACTGCTAATGCTTAATGTAATTATTGCTAGGGTGAGATTTAGTTCTACCACTTTATTGTTTTGTTTGCCCCTCTTTTTCTTGGTATTTCTGTACTCCCTTCCCTGCCTTCTTTAGGATTATTTGAATATTGGAATTTATCTGTTGGATTTGGGTCTATTACCTCTTTGGCTTTTTTTTTGGTAATTGGAGTTACAATATACATAACTACTTTTTCAATCTGCTTAGAATAAAAATTGTACCACTTCATGTAAAATTTAGAAGCACGGCAGTATAGTTCAGAGAATATGAGGGAGGAAAGTCTTACATTTATCTAGATACTTACCATTGGTTGCTCTTCATTCCCAGAGATTCAAGTTTTCTTTTGGTATCATTTCCCTTCAGTAGGAAGAATTGCTTTAGCATTTCTTGTAGATTGTCTGTTGGCAATTAATTCTCAATTTTTCTTCATCTGAGAATGGTTTTGTTTGCTTTTCCGCAATCCACCTGCTTTTATTCTTCAGTGTCTTCAGTTTATCTAGTTTTTTCATTGTAATTAGCAGGAAGGATCTACACTGCTCTGCTAAACTGGAACAATAAAAATGTGATTTTTATATCCTGTCATTTCTATGGCAAAACATATTACTAAATTAGAATCAGAGGGTATATGGAGTTTTTACAGGGGCATGCTTTCAGTTGCCCAGGAATACCCTTTTTCAATCGCTATATGAACAAATAATTGCAGAGGATGATAAATTCAAGAAATAAACTGACTCGGTTCATTAGACATCACTGGTAAGCATTCTCTGATACCCTCTGTGACTAATTGTTGCAGCTCCTTCACAATCTTGCTAGCACCCAGTCCTTCCATTGTCATGCCTCATCTTACTCCACTGTTGATTAACTTAGTCTACTGCTGATTTACTTGTTTCAGTAGAGATTTAAACCATGAGCTCCAGCAGGGTGACCCCATCCATCTTTACTGCCACACTCCCAGGCACACAGTAGGTGCTCAATAAATACTTCTTGAATGAGTGTATGCTGATCCTGGCTTCTAATCCCCTTTCCCTACTTTTTCCTTCAGCTATAGCACTTATTACCATGTCAGATCGTTTAGTATAATTCCCGTGTTTTCAGTTTCCTCCCACCCCCACTGTAAGCTCTATTAGGGCAAGGATCTTTACCTGTTTGAGATACTTTTGGCCTGGCACCTGACATATAAGGTACTCAGTAAATATCATTGAATGAATCATTGCAAATCAAAGGTAAGCAGCCCTTACTAATATGTATTATTTTCTTTTTAACTCAGGGGAGTTTAGTGTATGCTGAAATTATAGGACACAGGCTCTCTGTTGCTATCACAGAAACGCTTTCATACCTGTTCTCCACTGCCATTCTGGTCCTTGTCTATTCTAACTGCCTCCTCGTGAAGGTACTAGAGTTGACTCAGTGTGTCCCAGGTGTTAAGAGCAGGGACCCACATGTCTTCCTTCTGGTCTTCCTTCCTTCTGGTAACTCTACCTTGGAACACATCACTGACAAACTTGTGAAGAGGGAAATTTTATAAAGATCAGCACCTGTCATCTCATAGACATAAGGCCTTTATACAAGCTAGCTAGACATTTTTCACTATGGAGACAAATGGATGAAATAGATTTCATGAAGCCTTTCTGCCTTATTGAAGACTTAATATTCTGATTGACAGGATGACCTATGCTTAGGAGGGTGTGTTCTGAAATCAGACAGGTCTCCAGTCTCCACCACCACCACTTATGCTGGTCTGAGCTTATTTCCTCATCTGTAAAATGCTGTGTCCCATCACATGGTAAGCATAAGCAGGAAATACAGGTTATCTATTTTTCGTGGGTCATGAGTCTTCTTTCCAGCCTTCCCTTTATTATTTTCTGTGCACCTAACATAGAAATTTCAATGAACTAAGCTGCTTAGGAAACCAGGTGATGACTAGTAATGGCTTTATGGTTGGGGTTAATCCACGTGGATACATATTTTGTATGTTTTTAGTATACCTCTCAAGTTTGTCAGTGATGTGTTCCAAGGTAGAGTTACCAGAAGGAAGGAAGACCAGAAGGAAGACATGTGGGTCCCTGCTCTTAACACCTGGGACACACTGAGTCAACTCTAGTACCTTCATCATACATATTAGTGAACATGACTGGTCACATGTGTCCGTGATGGCTGAATGTCCTGTAGAATATAAGAGTCATCTTCAGGTCATCATGCTCAAGTTAGATTTTCAATGTCCAGGACTTTGAACCCTACGAATATGAGATCTTACTGAGATTGTCTTAACCCCCAAAGCCATATCCTATAAGTTATATGTTTTACTACCTCATTGTTGTGCACATAAAATCTAAAATAAAAGCATAATATGCTAATTAGGCCGGACGACCTTCGGATGAAGCCGTGGCAGTGGGGGTAGAGGCAGCCGCCACGGTGGTGGGGCCAAGCCCCTCGCACAAATTCATGCATCGGGCCTCTAGTTATTCTAATAAAAGCAGAATATGAGGTGGGGGTCTATTAAAGTGGGATCATTTCAAATATCTGGCTATGATGTTCTCTTCATAGCATGCCTTTCTTTAAGGGTGCCCAATTTCTCTCCTCAGTAATACGTACTTCTATGCACTACTGGCACATTGGTGTGTGTGTGCGTGTACATATGTGCCTTTTTCCATTTTTAAGGACAAAAAGGTGCCATTGACCACTTCAAATGGTGCCACATTATTTTCAGTCCCATAGAAGAACTTGGAAGACACAGCTTTACCTGAGGATCTTGAATGGCTCTTCTCAAAGCAACCAGGGCGATGGAGAACGGTTTGTGGAGGTGGCTCTCCATCGCAATTATGAACCGGTAAACCTAGAAGGGAAACTTCCTGCTACAATAACACAGCAAGGCGATGTGATGAACACTTTTATTTACAAATATAATTAAAAGCTCTGACAGTTATCATGCTCTTCCTTGGAACCTGAAAAATGTTTGTTTTTTAAAGTGCATGCAAAAGAAGTAAAGCCTTTTTTTTTTCATCATTTTTTATTGTAAGAAAATACACAGTTTGAAAGTGTGAATAATGCAATATTTATGACCAAGAAGATATGGGACTTTGGGAGGGGAAGGGAAATAAAGAAAAAGATCAAGATGATCTGATTGAGAGACAGTGTTGAACTCCAAATACTGAATTGGAAAAAGGAGGGAGGTGGGGAAGAATAGGAGGAGGAAGTAAAAAAATTTGATCAGAGAAACAGTTAAAATACAATATGAAAATAAGTAATACCTCTCCTTAAATTCCTTCTATACACAAAATACACGATTTGCCAAAGCCCAATTTGTGCTACTGGGATTCTGTGAGCTCCTTAAGTGTATTCACATCCTCTGCAACAGCAGAAAATGATTATGATACAATCAGAATATGCTGAAGACAAGTTAAACTCTTGCCAGCAGGTTCTTAAAAATCACAAGATCTCTTCACCCCACCCCCCACCCCCATCCCCAAAAAAGTAATAATATGTCACCACTGATATGTACATCACAATTAGTTTCTGTAAAATGTATCAAATTTTCAATCTTTAATAAAACTTTGTTTTTTTTTTAATTCCTGATGAATAAATACCAAAAAAATAAAATAAAATAAAATAATGCAGCAGCTAGTTAAGGTGTAAGGCTGCGGATATTGTGTCTCTCTCCCCCTTGGCATTTATTATTATTTTTTTGCTTTACTTTCACAGATTGGTGGTAATGAGTGATTGCTTAGAGCAATATACATCCACATTTGTTGTTGGTTTATTGGTTTTTTAAAAACTGTCTCCGAAGTTTTCACTGAAACATTTTAAATCACATCAATACTGTGACGTGTACTATGAGTAGAAGAGGTGGCCACGTTTTGGCCAGCACTGAAAGTTGACACGGGGGGAGGAAGGGGCCCCTGATGGAGTAAGAATAAACAGGCACTAGTCCGACACGATGTCAGTAAGAGTAAGAGAGAGAGAGAGTGAGAGCAACGCCCGTTAAAATGGGGAATGTGGTTTTGCAGGGTCTGAATTTTTTTCTGTTTTATTTTTTTTTGTAAATGGCAAAAAAATTTAATCTCATCTATAGTCCTCCTTAGGAAAATCTAATGTAACCAAATTCCCAAATCCCATTCTGAGGCTCTCCATGTCAAAAGTTTCAATCTCTCGCTCTTGCCTTTCCAATAGATACTTTATTCTCTCGCTGCGTTCCTTCTGAAGGGCAGCCAGCTCTTCTTCAATCTGAAATAAGCACAATGAGCAGATTGTTAATAGAAAGGATCTCCCAACAGGCACCCACATGCACACGTGCACATACACCCACACATATGACACACAGACCCACAGGAACTCAGAAGAAACTAGATGGGGACAGGCGGGAGGGTCCTGTGGTATATGTCTTGTATCTAATCCATTACATCTAAAACTTGCTCACAAGAATAAAAATGTTTGGGGCCACCTGGGGCTATAGCTCTACCATTCTAGCAAGCTAAGCAGCTGGGCTGATGGAGGTCAGTGTCCTATCTCAGCGGGAGAAAACTCAGGAGAAGGTAAAAGACACTTGAGCACAATTAGACTGTGCTGCTGTCCCATAGAGAGCCAAGTGCCCCCTGGGTCATCAGTAATTTAGTTCTAGAACAGGAGTTGGGACGCTAGTCTTTACGTTGGTCTCAGGGAAGTAGCGGAAGAAAGTACAAATAACTGGTTAAGCAAATAAATGGTCAACACAGTTTGGAGATGCTTTATGAAATCTTTTCTACTTCATATTCCTCAGCAATATTTAAAGCAATGAATATTTCAATTCAGATAAAATTTATTATGCATGGAAATATCAGCCTCTCTTCATTTCGATTTTTTTAAAGAGCCTTGCTGGTGATTTCTTTTCATTTAGAAATAGCTAAAAATGAAAGCCAAATTTGCACTTGGCTTCCTCATGCCATTTAGCAGCCATGCTATCAGCTCGCAGTGCCTTTTACATGTCATATCAACTACCCAGTATTCCTCTGGCTGGGAAGGTGGGGGATTCCTAGCAGAGTAATAGAAAGAGCTTAGGCTCTGAGATCAGATTTATGTAAGTAACCTAACCATGTTGAGCCTTAGTATCCTGCCTGTAGAATGGAGATTATGCCTACCTCTCCGGTACTAGGAGTGTAGAAGCAGGTAATAAGTGAACAGTGTCTACTCTAATCCCCCAGTACATAGGCAGGGCTCAATGAATGGCAGTTTCCTAGGCTGTGCCCCATCCTCCACCCAGCTGCACAGGACCCGTAGGAACACTCATACCTTCTGCTCAAGATGTGCTCTGCGCAGAGACACCCTCTGCTCTAGCTTCTGGAGCTCACGTTCATGTTGTGCCTCTGTTTGCATCTTGATTTTGCTCTGATAGGCATTGAGCAGCTCCATTTCCTGCTGGAGCTGTAGCCTCAAGGCCTGGCATTCTGCTTCTTGAGCCTCATCTAGCCGTAACTGTGGGCACAGAAGACATACACTGTAATCTAGCTTACAGCATGTAATAACTACGGGAAGATGTTCAGATTTTAACAGGCTCCTCAGAAAAAAAAAGAGAGATGCCCTGGGTACATCCAGAGTTAGGAATCAAAAATAGTACACTCTACCCAATGGCCTACACACTTCTAAAAACACATCTTTAAAACATTCTTTCTTAAAACATTCTGACATATGTAATACTCTTTGTAATACTTTAAGCAATAAAACAATTAAAAAACCCATTCTTTCTTAAAAAATACACACAAAAACATTCTTAAGAAAAACCACACCAGCAGGAGTCAGGAATGCTACACACTCCAGTGATTAAACTTGGGCTTTGGAGGCAGACTCCTGAACCTAAACTCTAGCTGCACCATTCACCTAGGTGTGTCACCTTGGCAAGTTACTTAACCTCTCCCAGTCTTTCTCCTTCCTCTCTCTCTCTCTCTCTCTCTCTCTCTCTCCCCCCCCCCTTTCATCTCAGGAAAATAACAAGTTCTAAACAACAAGTGTCTAAGATTGGTGTGAAGATTAAATGAAAGAATTCATATAAAATCTTAAGGCATAGTCCTTGATGTATACCAACTATTCAATAAATAGTTGTTATTGTTATTTTGGTTTTGACTAACATTTCCATATTTAGATATCTTTAATCCTAAAATCATAATACATTTAGATAACCTTAAGTCTAAAAACATATAATGAGTCCACTTGAGGAATACACCATAGTGCTGTTATGCTCCTGGCAAGTAATGTTGGTCCCTGTGGTTGGCTATATGTTACCCTGCTGGCCAGCCAATCTAAAACTCAAGTGGCTCAAAATCTCTTCCCCACAGAAGGTAGCCTTGATAATCGTAAGGGGCATATTCTGGTTTGAAGCAGTAAAATCAGAGTATAAACCAGCCTGACAGTTTCTCGCTTCCCTGTAGCACCTGAACTTTGTGTTTGTTGTGCACGATGATACCGATCCTGTGTGGGGAATGGGCCAAGCCAGCCAGCAGAAATGACAACCTTTTGGTGAGCATAGTTGAAGGTTTGGGGCCATGAGCAGGAGTATGTTTAGGGATGACGACCCTCCTGTCCCAGGCTTGGTTTTGTCTAGATTTGACAAGCCCTCAGCTCAGCTGGGAACTCTGAGATTAGAACCCTTGAATTAGACATTTCTACCGAGTTTATCAGCACGTATCCATACACATAGACCACTTTGCAAGATAGTTATCATTCACCTTATGCTTCCTTCCCTATCTGTACAATATTGAGAATACAGAGATGAACAAGACAATTACCAATATATCTCAATATGTTGATTGAGAAATGACTCTCTGAAATATTATTAGAATAGTTTTAGAAAGTTATTTGCATAGTACCTTCTTAAGTATTTTTGGAGAAATATACTATATAGCAAATAAATACAAAATAAATAATATTTCCAAGGTGCTTTCCAATAATTCATCTTAATAAGCTTTCACTGAAACCCACTAAAGAGGATCTCTCCTCATTTTCTCAGTGAGAAACAAAGGCAGAAGAAATACTAGACGAAAGCAGTCAATCTGCAGCAGGGACAGCCTTACAGATAAATGCCAAAGGGTTTACTGACCCAATGAGGTTGTTATCAATTCCCTCCTGATATGGCAGGCCCCTTACCAATAAAGGGAATGAAAATCTGTTCGTTTCTACTCGTCTGTGTTAATTGCTATAAGCCCTGGCCAAGTGGGGGAGAGGCTTCTCCTGTGGGCACTGGAGACCACTGAAGAAACACCGCCAGCTCCTCTTGTTTCTGGCATCCTATTATTAATGTCAGTAACTATGTTATTCTATACCAGCTCTGACTCTACAAAAGTGCCAGTCTAAAAATCAGAGGATATTCCAGTATTTGCTATTGATCCCCTAAAAGCTGCACATACAAAATCCATCACGTTTTATAAGTAAAAGTAGAGGTAAATATCATGTCTGTTTTGTAAAGTGAATTAAACTGAAGAAAAGAATGTGATAGAGGCAGCATAACGTAGTAGTGGCCAAGCATATAGGCTTATAAGCTCACCTGAAAATAGGTTCAAATCTTAGCTCCTGCTCCAATTAGTCGTGTGACCCTAAGTCGGGAGTTGGCACACTACAGCCCAAGGGCTAAACCTGCATTGCTGCCTGTTTTTGTAAATAAAGTTTTGTTGGAACACAGACATGCTCATTCAGTTTGTATTGTCTATGGCTGCTTTTGTACTACAATCACAGAGTTGAGCAGTTGTGACACAGACTCTGTGGTCTACAAAGCCTAAAATATTTACTACCTGTCCCTTTACAGAGAAAGTTTGCCAATTCCTGCCCTAAGCAAGTGGCTCTATTTCAGTAAACCTTAGTTTCCTTATAGGTAAATTAGGGTTGAAACAGTAATGACTTCAAAGGAGTTTCACAAAAATGAAATAACACTTAGAAAATAGTTAAAACAGTGCCTGGCACATGGTAAGCAG